AAAAAAAAAAGACTGGAGAAAGCTAGGAATGAAAGGAGTAGTAGTTATCGATAGTCAAAAGAACAGTACTATAAAGCTATACCCATTAGCTAAGGGAAAAACAAAAAAAGAATAGCTATTAGAAGACTGACTGGGGCTTTTCAGCAAAGGAATACAAAAACTACATCAAAACTGATGCACCAGGTGATAGCTCAGCTTCTAGCTTACACAACAAGTGCTACTTAGGACAGAAGAGATACATATGATTGATTGTATTTCCATCTAACAAAGAGGATAAAATAAAACATTTTATTCTTAAAGTCATAAAGCTTCAGCAATCTTGAAAACCTATCAACTGTATCTCCAATGATGCTGGCTAATGAAACACAACTAGTTTTCCATCTCATCTCCCCAATCATATTTATTAAAAATAAAGGCAATGAAAATCCCATCTCTAATGCAATATAACAATTTCCCTATGTCCAACTTAGTATTTCCTTACATTATGTTCCCTTCTCAAAACAATGAGCTGAACTTATACAACTTAATACAAATACAATAATCTTGGGCAGTTAGATACTGCTAGGCAGCAGGATAAGAATTTTACAAATGCTCATTGTTAGTGTTCTTCATAAGAAAACTAGTAGGGTAATGGCTCTTTTTTTATTTAATTAAAAAACTTTTTTTAATGTTTTATTTATTTTTGAGAGAGAGAGAGAGAGAGAGAGAGAGAGAACAGAGAATGTCAAGCAGGCTCCGTACTGACAGGAGAGAGTCTGATGCAGGGCGCAAACTCAGGAACCATGAGATCATGACCTGAGCCACAGTCAGATGCTTAACCAACTGAGCCATGCAGGCACCCCAGGTGATGGCTTTGTAAGTGAACCTGTTCAGCTAATAATTCAGAGCCAGCAATGGTATGCTTACCATATAATATAGTTATTTAAAAATGCTTTGAATAAGTTAACTAATATTTAATATATGGACTGCAAATAGATAAACTTGATCTTCCCAACTTTCTTCCTAAATATCAAAAAGTATATATCCTGTAAAAAGATACTAAAATACATATTTAAGAACATCACTTACCTCATCGCTTTCAGGCTGTGAAAACACAATCGGCTGGCCTGTATCTGAAGTTTCCCTTATATTGAGATGTAAGGGAATGTCCCCTAAAAGAGCCCACCAGACATCCATTAGCACTATAAAAGTTTATACAGGCATTTGGAATTTCACTATGTGAACTTCAGAAAAAAAACAAAATTTTCATTCACGTCAACTTGAATTATGACTATCCTCATATTGCTAAATCTCTAAAAAAGGAATTTCAAATGAAAATTAGGGGCAACATATTCCATTTAAGGGTAGTTCAGACATTGTATATGTGTATATGAAAGCTATATGGTAGCCAATCAAGGGATAAGGACTCTGATTTATTCTTTGCTGTGGGTCTTCCAGCAAGAAATGGCTTAGAAGACATTTGTAAAATTATTTCTCCCTGTAATATCTGATATAGACACATCGTACTAAATAACAAGAGGAAAATGAAGAGGGAAAGATGGGGAGACAAAACCCCAAAAAAGAATAAATTATCTTCCTGAGGTTGGCAGATGAGTGAGCTAAGAGAACTCCCTGAAAGTAAGCCAGATCTGTTATCTCCACGACCTGCCTCTTTATCATATCTAACTACTTTTCTTTATGTATTAATCTATATAGCATTATATATAACTTGTGAGCTTGATGAGATCTCAGCAAGTATATAAGACCTCTACTACAGACTTGTCAGAAAGATTGTGTGTCTCTCCTGAGGATATGTTACTATGAGGTGGTAGAATTTAGGGCGAAAATGCTCTGATCCATAGTCCAGTTGACTCCACCATACCTTCACAAATGAAGCCTTTCAAAAGGCTTAGACTTAAAATGCTGTAAATGGAGTCTGAAGTAGAAGAGTTGACTCATCATGGTACTGAGCATTCTTAGAACAATTCCAAATCCATGCAAAGGTTACTGAAACCTGTGTGTATGTGAGCATGTTTATGCAAAATAAGGCATTCAGCACCATGCCAGGCTACTTAAATAAAGCAGAAGTATATGTTACAAAATTACAAACCTATTATAATTTATATTATGAAGTGCATAGAGGAACGGGTAATTCATGCTCCTCTTGTCAGCAAATTTGGGGATTTTAATCAACTCTTTAAATCTTTCTTAAATGTTCAATAACCAAATGATAAAATACATGAATATTTCAGTAGTCATTTAAATTTGATGTCTATTCTATAGATCAACTTAAGCCTGTAAGAAACTGTCACAGGGGGTAGGGGAAAATACGTTATATAAAATTCTTAGAAACCCATAAAGTTTTTTCTCTTGATTTATGACATTATAGTAAGGAAACCTGAATGTTTTCATTTCTACTGCAATAATGGAAGAAAAAAGGCACAACCTTCTCCTTTATATAGGCACCTATCAATATAGTTTCTGACTTTCAGGGACTCATAATCCTATCTATAAGCACAGAAGAGTTGATCAAGAAAGAGGAAAACCTTTTTAGAAAATAGGTGGCAATCATATTGCCTTATCTCACCATAGTGAGAGTGGTAATGGGCTAACAGTTGCATAACAGAGGAGGAGAAAAAGGAGTAATGGTATGGAGAGTGGGTAAAATGCAGTCTGGCCTTGAAACGTACCTTTAAGGGGCCAGGTCTGAAAGAAGCAAGGGCATATTTCAGAGACATAACTGTTACAGAGAAAGTTCTGAGAGCCATTTTCCCAAATAATTATTTAGTGCAGCCCAATGGATGAAAATAAATTAAGAGGCAGCCCGGGAGTCAGTAAAGGACATATTAGGGCCCCCGGGAAGTTCAACCAGCCAGGAGGCCATAGCTGGGAGAGCTCTTTCCCTGACTTCAGTTCCTTTTTCCTGACTACAACCTCTTTGTTATTGAAGCCCCTGCTCCAGATCATGGAAGTCTCATTGGGCCCCATGACCGCATTAAAAGGAAGAGATGTGCCCTGAGTTGGGATTCCAAATTAGTTTTCCCATAACACTGTTAGATACAGCCATCTATAAACACTATCCATTTTTCGTGATCAGTAATCAGTATTTCTGACACATTCTCAGGGTAACTACACATTTGTGAGCTCTTGGTTAAAATGCAACTTAGTGTGATTGCTTCTCTAAGAGATATATTTCAAATTCTAAATAAATGATTTACAATATCGTATATCATACCACCCATTTATAAATCAGGGAATTATAATGTTGTCAGCATAATTCAATAGCGCCATTATAATTACACATTTACTTTATTACATAAGTTTATGTCAATCTGTTGTTATTATGCAGATTTGGGAAATTGAACTTTCTAGGTTAAATAAAAAACAGTTGCAGAGTATAATTAGTGGCTATAATTAAAGCAACGTATCAAAATATAACATTAGTATTCACCTGGTACTGTGGTGGCTGCTACAGTACAAATGCATAATAACAATAACACATTTAACATCAACTTTTAGAAGTTTAATTATAATAAACAATGTTGTGAAATTCCTTGATCTCTAAGGGATCTTAATTGTTAACTTCCTAAAACTAATAATTCACTCTATTCCTCCCTTATTCAGCATCTAACATCTGCCTTTGCCCAGAACAGAAACTCATTCATAACGAAAATTATCAACACATGTTTCATAAAATGTCCATTAAGTTGCTTGTAGATCTTCCAAAAATCATGTTTTATCTAAAATCTGTGTTTTGCTCACTTAACACATGAGTTCACTTCTCATAACACTAATTAATCCTTCAATTCAGTAACGTGAATGGTATGTACAATGTAAATTTCAGGTACTATATTTCACAGACATGGCAAACACATTATAAAAAGATTACAGAAAACAGAAAATATTATCTTTCTAGAGCAAAAGGACTGATAAATTCAGAACTTATCAGAAAGGCATTTTTTCATATGCACCAAGAACTGACACTTTCAAAGGTTGCTACAACACACTGACCAGGTATTTTCATATGCCTATCTGTTTATACTGAGAGATATGTTCTCAGCTTAGCAAACAAAGTGATGACCATTATTTAAAATAAGGACTTCAAATTACAAAACTCAGACCACAAAACTCTTCTCAAACTCAATTATAGGCAGTTCTTGCTTATGGTAAAAGTGGTAATTGGCAGAACAAACCTCCTCTTCAAAAAGCCTCCCACTAATGAAATATATAAAGCCAAAGAAAGGTTAACAAACACATACAACTCCTTATACTTAATTTAAAACACAAAACTGAAGACAATTCATCATTTTCTGAGACACTCTTCATCATCATCTTATCCACACCTCCCCTTCCGCCATTTCCTCTGCAAAAGAATATCCTATGGTCTTACCTAGAACATCAAGATCAAGGGTCCGTGCTAGTCTTCTGGCACCATCAGCACCAAAAATATGAGTTTTATGTTTACACTTCGGACACTGGAAAACACTCATATTTTGGACAAGGCCCAGAACCTAGAATAACAAAAACCACTGAAATCAAAACAAAGTTAAACCAAATCTCAATCCATTATTTCAACAAGTTTTTACTGAGTGCCCACTGGGTTCTAGTGATACAATGATGAATAAGTTATTGTTTCTGCTCTAAAGGGAACTCACACGCTGGTGGGAGAGCAAGACACATGTAATTAACTTTAATAATGTGATAAATGTTAAAGAGATAAAAATAACAGGGATCAAAAAATTCTGTCTGGGAAGAATAAGAGGTATCTCTGAGCTGCCCACATTGCTCGGAATTGTTTCTTCAGGTTAAGGATGAGAATAAGGGTTGAGGCCTACAGCAGGAATTCTAGGTGGAAAGAAGAACACAAGCCAAGTCAGGGGAATGTAGCCACACATGGCCTATTTGGGCTACAATCTAATGGGGGGCAAAGGCAGAAGCTGGCTTGGTAAAGGGAGGTGAAGGTCAGATGGTTAACATGTAGATGCCATTCACGTGTTTCAGACTTTCTTCCTGAGACAACAGAAAACCACAAAAGGTTTTTCAAGTTGGAAAGATGGCCCAACAAAGGGTTTTTCAAGTTGAAAGATGATCGAGGTAATGTTACAAAATCAGACCCATTTTTTAGAAATTTAGCCCTGATAGCAATACAGAAAAACTAAGCAGAAACACAGGAAAATAAATAATTAAGAGGTTATTGTGAACAAGGTGTCATAGTGAATAACACCTAACAAGTACTGAGTGCTTATTATATACCAGGCACTGGGGGTAAATGGTTTAGATGAACTATCTTATTTACTCATCTCAAAACTTTATGAGATGGGTATTTTATCATCCTCATTCCATAACTGAAAAAAAGGACACTTCTAGCAAAAAACTCTTGGCTCTTATCAGAATGTTATTATTTGAAATAAAAATTTAAAGTCTTACAGAAAGTGTCCATCTCTTTCTGAATTTCCTAACTTCTGGCATAAAAGAGATACTTTATAAACATTTGTTAAATAGACAGGTTATGCAAATATAATCCTTATTCAAATTTCTTTTAATCCCATTCTTTTTAAAAAATATTTGTTTATTTATTTATTGAGAGAGAGACAGAGATGGGGAGAGACAGAGAAATCCCAAGCAGGCTCCACATTTAGTACTTATTTATTTATTTATTTATTTATTTATTTAGGGGGAGAGAGGGAAGGGGGAGAGGGAGGGAGAGAAAGAGATAAATCCCAAGCAGGCTCCACACTTAGCGTGGAGCCCGATGCAGGGCTTGATCCCATGACCACGAGATCATGACCTGAGCCAAAATCAAGAGTTGAATGCTTAAGTGACTGAGCCACCCAGGTGCCCCAATCCCATTTTCTCATTAATGGAAATTAAAGCAGTGCTTTGCTTCTAAAATAAAAATAAGGAAACACAATTATCAGAGGCTTAGAGATAACATGTGTATATCATCCTATCAATTCCACCAAAAAGATCATCATTACAGGAGGTATCTCTATTAGAACATGTGCATTTTAAATGAAGGATAGCAGTGATAGTCTACAATGAAACATATAGATAAGGTGATCAAATTTATTCTTCTCTCTGAAAAGAGAAACAGAAAAGACTAAAGTTTTTCAGAACACATGCAAATGAAGACAAATTGTGAGGGACATACATTTGTAGCTAAGCATTTTCTAAGCATCGAATAGATGCCATTTTGCTGATGCAAAGTATTATAAAAAATAAATCACACTGTACTTCAGTAATTCAATACCATCTCCGAAAAGCCAGAAGAAAACACCGCTAATATCACACACCTTATTTCTTTATTCACTATGTTTATATAATATACCCATTGCTTGGGCAGTTTTACTGCCATTTATATTAAATGTGATATAGTCCCCTCACTGTAGAGCTTTCAACTTGAACATAAACATATCGCTCAAGAAATGGGAGGGCGGTGCCTGGGTGGCTCAGTTGGTTAAGCATCTGACTCTTGATTTCGGCTCACGTCATGACCTCAGAGTTTGTGACTTGGAGTCCCACAGTGGGCTCCATGCTGACACTGCAGAGCTGGGTCAGGATTCTCTGTCGCCCTCTATGCCCCTTCTCTGCTGTCTCTCAATCTCTCTCTCTCAAAATAAATACATAAACGTAAAAAAAAAAAAAAAAAAAAAAAAAAAAAAAAAAAAAAGAAAGAAAGAAAAGAAAAGAAATGGGAAAGGAAAAACAAATAATGTGAACACCTAGGTGAGGGTATACTCTAATTCAGAGAGAATGGGAAAAGCATCCCTCCTCCACAATCTCTTAGACTCCCCAAAACAGAAAGGGATGGAGCAAGTATTTTCAATGTATATGATTAACGTGTAAGTATCTTGTTACTGTTCTCTATGCCTCAGACAAGTTCTCTATAAAGACCACAAAATGTCACAAACATAAAACTATAAGCAAACTCAATATTTAATGGGCTCCTATTATATGCCAGTTACCGGGCTAAGCGAAAGGGGTAGCATTCAGTCGTGAGCAAAACAGACTTGATCCTCACACTCCTGGATAGAGAAATAGACTAAACAAATATTGCAAAAATCCACTTAAAAACTGGAAGAGCTTCTCTGGAAGCAAGTACCGTGTATTATGAGAGTGTAGAACACAGAGGACAACATACCCTGGGAGTCACAGAGGAGTTTCTTGAGGAATATGTGACGCAGAAGTTGAAGAATAAAAAGGAGGAAAAACTCTCAAGATACAAGTAGGGAGAAGTTTCCTTCAAGGAATTGAAAAGCCAGCATGGTTGACGAATGGTGTGAGTAGTGTGAGATTTTTCTAGCAGGACACAAAGCACTAAACATAAATAAAAAGTCATTTTGTTAAAGTGGTCATTAAAATTAATAACTAAATTGGAAGACACAAGAGAGAGTGAAAAGGCAAAGTATAAAGCAGGAGGTGGTATTTATAATATACATCCATGACACAGGGCTTTTATCTGGAATATATAAAAACTCTACAAATCAATAAGAAAAAGTCAGAAATTAAAAAATGGGCAAGACTTAACCAGCACTCCATAAAAGAGGATATGCAAAGACCAACAAATGTGAGAAAAAAGGGTTCAACTGCACTAATCATCAGAGAAATGCAAATTAGGACCACAATGAGATATCATGCATATAAGCTTTAAGACCTGATTAGAATAGATGAATGTCTATATGACTGTAACAACCACCAACACTAAATCTCCATGAAGACGGAGAGCAAGTAAAACTCATAGTTTCACCTGAGTGTAAATGGGTACAACCATTTTGGAAAACTGGCAGTTAATCTAAATAATTGATATATGTTTAGTTTCCACTATGGCATAGTAATTCTGCTCTCAGTTATAGATTAACAGGAATGTGAACTTAACATTCAACAAAACACATGTACAAAAGTATTCACAAATAACACTAATTATTCCCAGATAGAAAATGACCAAATGGCCATCAACAGTAAAATGGACAAATAAATTGTGGCACAGTCACACAATGGAATGCGACATGGTAATGAAGTTTAAGCAAAATAAACAACATGAAAGTATATACTTATTATTCCATTTACATAAAGTTTGCAAACAGGCAGAAATAATTTATGGTGTTATAATTTGGGTTCCACTTTGGGGAAACTATTATAAATAATGCTTCCATGAATGTTTTTATACATGTCTCCCCCTTTTTTTCTTTTTTTTTTTTTGCTAAGTATTTAGGTTACGCATGTTTAACTTCAGCAAAAAATGCCAGGTTTTCCAATAAAGTTCTACCAATTTACACTCCTCCCAGTAATGTATGAGAATTCCAGGTGTGACACAGCTTCACCAACATATGGTATCATCAGCCTTCTTTATTTTAGCAAGTATGGTGAGTCCATTGTGCTGGACTGTTCAAACTGTCAATGTGTTTATAATAGGAACTATATTTCCTAGAATCTTCCTTCATATATATGGCTCCTGGTTAAAGTTCCCTGAAAGTGGAATGAAAACCCCGAGGTGGCAGTGAAGCCTTAGGCTTCACACTCTATTTTCCTTTGGTTAGAGCTGGTGAACCAGCAGGAGTGTACGTGTATTCCAGTTTGCTCTCTTTCTTCCTGATGCTGTGCCCAACTCTCCTTTGCACTGTGGCTTTAATTTGTGTTGCCATAATTATTAATGAAGTTGAGCATATTTTTTAAGAATTTTCTAATGTTTATTTATTTTTGAGAGAGAGAGAGAGAGAGAGAGAGAGAGAGAGAGAGACAGAGCGTGAACAGGGGAAGGCAGAGAAAGAGGGAGACACAGAATCCAAAGCAGGCTCCAGGCTCTGAGCTGTCAGCGCAGAGCCTGACACAGGGCACTAACTGCGAGATCATGAACCAAGCCAAAGTCGAACGCTTAACCGACTGAGCCATCTAGGCGCCCCAAGCACATTTTTACATGTTTATTGGTCATTGTATATTCTCCTCTGTGAAATGTCTGTTCAGGATTCTTCTCTTTTTTTTTTTCTATTGATCATGTGTTGTTGTTGTTGTTGTTGTTTTTCATTGAATTGTAAGTATTCCTAGTATTTTAAAGTATATTTCCTTTGTATTTATTTTTTTTATTTTTTTTAAACATTTATTATTGAGAGACAGAGAGAGACAGAGTGTGAGCGTGGGAGGGGCCGAGAGACAGGGAGATACAGAATCTGAAGCAGGCTCCAGGCTCTGAGCTGTCAGCATGGAGCCTGTCGCGGGGCTTGAACTCACAAACCGAGAGATCATGACCTGAACCGAAGTCAGACGCTCAACCGACTGAGCCACCCAGGTGCCCCGAAAATATAATTCCTTTGTTGATTGATTCTCAACTTTGATACTGATTTCATGCTGAAATGATAATATTTTTAATATACTGAGTTAAGTATGTTATTAAAATTAAGGTCACCTGTTTTGTTTTGTTTTGTTTTCCTACATTTTAAAATATGGCTACTAAAGGGGCATCTGGGTGGCTTAGGCGGTAAAGCATCCAACTTTGGCTCAGGTCAAAAATCTCATG